ACACACACACACACACACACACACACACACACACACACACACACACAACACATAGATTGACGTAGCTAAACCAATCTCGTTATTTTTACTCAGCCAATTCGTTTTGAACGCATATCAATCTCCGTTATCAAGCATATGTCCTCTATAGGGCCATCATTGAAGACCATCTTCATAAACGATGAAATAAGTAAATATTGCTCTTAGTTTAAGCAAATATCTGCAGAGTGCATATCTGGGAAAGCCTACAAACGTGTAATCGCATATAAGGAATGATTTGGAAACATAAGACGCACGATCGATATATCAATGGTATATTGTACCAAGCATTCACTGGCATCAGAAACGAACGATCGCTTAATTCCAGGTGACACTTTCAATATTCACCACTAGTTTGCGTTCATTCACTTAGCCGATGTCAGGGATTGAAATTCTCTATCATGTAATCGAATATCGCATACAGTCTTATGATGATTGCGATTTAGATTAAGTTCGAAATTTTTTCTCGGTTTAATCGCATGTGCCTTAGTTTACTGTTCGGAACAGAATTTATCGATATGTTTGTTGAAAATTTGCAAGAAATCCTTGATCCATAGATTTCTTTAACATGAGTAAAAAGTTTGAAGCTAGTAGTGGAGCGCAGTACAAGCAATCTTTCTTTCGATGAAATAGGGGCGTCAACGACAACTGTATCTCGGCAGCTCGGAAGCTCTAATTTTTTCTTAGACTATATGAAATGTTGCGGGTGTTTTCACGTAAAAGCCTATCTCCAACTCAGTCTCAAAAGATAAAAGACTAATATTGTTAAGTGAAACAAAGACAAACACACTTCAAAATGTCTTAAATGGTTTGTACATGTTGTTTGCATTTCAATCATATTGAAATTCAAAAGTAAGAAAACTTTACAAATTCGGAAAAAATAATGACAAGTCTTCGACCTAACTTGCAATTTTTTTTTTTTTTGCAGTTTCGTCATTCCCACATAGTTGCATATGTATATAATGTTTATTAGCCGTTATCGTCTTGGTCGCTTTGGATCGTTTTCGCTGATTGTTGTCCACTCGACTGACTACCGCTTAGAGTCTAAAGCGTAGTGATGATTCCCCCGTTTCATCGATGCAAGCTAATGCGAGAGAGTTTTGCATTAATCTGAATTGTAGCGTCGTCATTAAACCCATTGTAACCTATCAATTACGTGACAGAACATACTTGACATATGTGATTTGAAAATTGGCACTGTTCACAGATCATATAGGCTTGTCAACAGTGTTGCCAAATATGGTTAAATGATATCTTATGTCTATTACTAGCTGGCAATCTGACTTAAGTGATAAGAAAAAATTTAAATTAATTTAATTCACCTAAGGGAAATTTACAACCTCGCAACAAGCTGATTACAGTGCGATTGGTTTTCATTTAAATTTCGAATTTAATCTCAATGACAAAGACAAAAATTCATTTCGCTATTCATTATCTGATCAGGAATATCGTAAAGAATCATGATCATCGATATATATATATATATGTTTGTGTTATAAATTATTCGATAAATCAAATATACTCTCTACAAGCGGTGCAACGAATGATAGATAGAATGGATGAGAAAGCTTGTTTGTATCTTGTTGATGTAACGTAATTTTTTATTATTTTTAAATTTTATTTACATAGAAATTACCATATAAAGTGTTTTCATTATTAGAGTTAATTAATGAACAAGTTCTCGTTTATTTTCCCCCAGAATAATCAAATTATTTAAAACAAACATAAATAATTTCTCATGTAAATAAACATCAAAAACAAAAAAAATAAATAAATAAATAAATAAATAAAAATAAACATTTATCGGAAACCATTCCAGTCAAATTCTGTAAAAATATTTCAAATTGAAAATCAATTACATGCCATCTCATCTCTTTTAATAGCGTGTCATGAACTTCCATCCATCCACCTTTCGGTAGCAAATACACACACTATGTACATGCGAATGATATCAATTGATTTAGCGAGTTATGGCATTCTCTTAAGCAAAATCTGATGAATTCTAATGGT